TGCAATCTGTAGCGCGAATATAAATAAAAATATCAAGATATGTGTTTGTGTGTATGTGTGCATGTACATGAGTGGCGAAATTATGGTTGAAGGTATCATGAATGCTATAAGTCTTGGAATGGAGAGTAAAGTGTGAAAAGTTCATGAGCCATTTGTCCAAGAGGGACGGAATCAGAACAAAAAATTGCCTCTGAGGCAGGGATTTTTATATTTATCCTCAAGTGTCCGAGCAGATTTATTATGCTCCCAGAGGTCTAGAGGTTGCTGAGGGGGGGGGGCTCAGGGCAAAATTTTGTCTCTAACCCAACATGTGGCGCCCTTCTTAAAAAATTGGGTTGTTTTTGTATTTTGTTACAAAATGTACCGGTGGAAAAACTTTACTTAGGCTTGTAGGCTACGCTTTGTTGCCTTACTTGTAGACAGGTCGAGCTTTCAACGCTTTTGCCCAGTTTGCTCGCAAAATTACTTGAGAGGAACTGTTCGAAATTTAACCACAATATATACTAAATGTTGCCATCTTGACAACCGGACCTAACACTAGTAGGGAATGGGCAAATGATCGGCCAACTGACCTCTTGTACTAGGACTCTCATGTGAATTTATTTCTACGCAAAATACTGTCACCTTCTTGAGGACGTGTCCTTCCCTCTCGAGAGCGCCTGAGGCTGTGTCGGTTTCAGTCTGGGACCAGCGACGAAGCAATGCTAAAGTTTTTCTATGGTTTACTTTGACCTTCTTGAAACACCAACCCACCATTCAGTTGTCTTTGAAACTACGTGAGCCCGCAACACGTTAGTAGCGTAGGCGTCTAGTGATGAGCAAGGAAGTGCCTTTCGAAGCAAAAGTCCCGATCCAAGCTGTCCTTTAAAGGGTCTCGATTTGTCCTGAAACTTTCACATCACTAGCTTCGTAGAGTGGTCCTGCCAGAAGGCGATGCTGGTTCCTTTTCGATCCACCTTCTTCGAGACGCTATCCTTCCGGTTCGGTGAATGACTTTAGACGAAATGAAATTCAAGTCCTCATTAATCTTCCAAAAGACTCTTTCAACACTGCTTCGTGTGTGTCGTCTCGTGCATATCTTGAAAGTTCCGTCTACTGAACAACTAAACCGAGCCACGATCGTCCGGTCCAAGAGGTCATCGCATATTCATGACTCGAATCCTGCCGGGCGTGCTAGTGAAATGGTAATGAAGCGATATATGAGTTGTCTCGTAGACCTATTCACTTACGAAAAAAATAATGTCGTCGATTGTTATAGCAAATATAAGTTTGCTTCACCGACAATCCCAACAGAGAATGTGATATGGGAAATGTCTGTCATTTCTTGAAATTCGCATCTGCCCTGTGACCCAATTGCACTCGTGGCAATGTGGCGTAGTGGTTAAAATGTCGAGCTTACATACCGCACTGTCACGGTTCGACTCCCGCTGGGGTGCTGATAAGACCGGTGCGAGGTCGAGACTGCAGTCCACTGGTGCCTGGAAGAGAACAACTGTTGGGAAAGCAAGGTTATGTGAAATTGAGTGGAAACGTCAGCTCTACTTATGTCCTTGTAGGAATATTATACCTCCAGTCCTTCATCATCTTAGACGAAATGGGGTGAATACAACTCGAGTCCCTACTCACTTACCAAAAAAACGAATAGAGCAATGCCCAGTTTTGGATGCTTTGCGCGGTCAATTTGACTGCTAGCTCAGCTCCCTCTTCAATTCTTCGAGTCTTGACTCGCCAGCAGCAAAAAACGGTGTATATTGGCGCAATTCTGGCCCTATTCTAAAAGAGTGAATTGCTTCGAAGCAAGTCGGTTGGGAAGTAGACTGCGCCGGATGCAATAGTTTTGGATATGTCTTCACTTTCGCAGCCCGGTTGCTCCACTATTATTGTCACTAACAATTCGCACACTGAATTGTTGTGTAGAGAACAATTTGCTTAATTCTGCATAAAGATGGGCAAATTGTGACGTTGGCATATCTTTCAGTTCGTTTGAAAAAGGCGGCTGGAATGGGTTCTCGGATTCGCCTCATCGGATACCAAACAAGGGTTGCTTTGGACTTGTGACTATTGGATTTTGCCAAGAGGACCTCGACCCACCGTTCTGCGATCCGAATGACTCCGTGCTCAGCTTTCGTTTGTCGTGTGACGGACATAGTCAGAGACAGAAATCATTATTCACGAACAATCAACCGAAATTCCACTTACTTTTTATGCCTCACTTTTAGATCTTAATGAGCAATTCCATGATTTTCCGTTTCATAAGTAGGTCCGTCGAGACTCCCTGCAGATCTGAAATAAGAGCTATTTCGGTAAAGGTTATGAAGGACAGAAAGCTGAATTTTCCCACAATCATATTCATGAGTGGGCGTTACGTTTCCATTGAATTTCACATAATCTTGTTTGCCAAAAAGTATTCATATCCAGACTGAAGTGGACTGCTGTTTCGATCTCTCCTGAAGTAGTTTCATCACCACCCCTGGCGGGACTCGAACCGTGATACTGCATCATATAATCTAGACATGTAAACCACCACCTTGGCCCATAGGGCAGAAGAGGCATCGAATTCTGTGGCGGGATTGGTTGACTACTTTGTGCTTGTTATGTAGACTTTCAATTCGTATGGAGGTTCATGATGAAGGGATTCGTATATCATTTTCTTCGTATATACTTCGCGCCTGTCCTACATGGATGAGGACGAATGAGGTGGATGCATGAAGGCAACCGGATGTGGTAACAGATTTTTTTAATGTAAATAAACTGGCATATGATCCTGTAATAAAGAAGCATATTTTCGCTTCGTGCGTTGTGTGTATGTAATACTCCTTTTCAAGCGAAATTAAAAGTATGCCACCAACAATATAGTAAAATATGCTTCTCTTTATAAAAGATCGTATTTAGTGCGACACTATTTTTCATTTTGAACAAAAAGTTGGTTCGAAGGAATTCGTGCATTGCTCTCAACGGAAAGAGAAACAATGTCAACCGTTGAATTGTGCCCACATGTATTCAGATCACGGTGCTGCAAAACTAATCACTCTGTCAAGGCTGGTCACATGCCAGAAGAAAGCTTAGCATAGTTTCATCACTCCTTATTTGTTTTCTGTCAAGACCAATTCACGAATTCGCTCCTTCGAGATGACAAGCCGTTGCAAAATAAAGCATTGAGGGATTCTCTAAACCAAGACTCTCTTCATATATGACAAAGATCATCTTTTCTACTTGAATCAAGCCTTGGGAGCCGAGATCTCGACGAATCTTGTCATAGAACTGACTCTCTTGGCACTTCTTGATTTCAATTAGCATTTTAACTTTATACAATACTGTCATGTAAGTTATATGGTGCATAAGAAGTCGCTTAAACTGATGTAAAGACTTGCAGCTGAGTTCTTCCCATAAGTATATAGATAGGCTACACGATGATTAGTGTGAATAGATTCAACACATATTGGTAGCAAAAATAGGCCGAATTGTGACAATCTCAGCTCTACAAAAATAGCAATACGCTTCTTTTTCAAGTTTACTCCATGAATCTTTAATCATTATTACCTCACCTTCCGATTGCCATACGTCTGCTCGCCCGCTGACCTGGTGCATCTGGAACTAAGCCCCAAAGTGAACTTGGCTCGAGCAAATAAAAATTGCTAAAAAAAGTATTGGTCTGTCTGCTATTTTAGCAGGTGTTTGCGAGTTGCAAAACAGTACTAATGATGGAAAAAGTTACGGCCATAATCATTTCCTTGATCCCTCAATTCGTGTTAATAGCTGGA